GGGGCCGCCGGGTTGGGGGGGGGGCCCCGGGGGGGGGCCGGCGGGGGCGGGGTGTCGAGCTGGGGCAGGGCACAGAGAGGCGGGCGGTTCTTACAGGGCACAAGGACAGCGCTCGGGGCTCGGCTGACGGGCCTGTGGGTCCCGGAAGGGGCCGGGGGAACTACCGGGTGCTGCCCACGGGCAGAGGGTAGGAGCTGGCTGGTGAGGCGGGGCCGGTGCCCCAGAAAAGGGGGTCAAGGGGGCAGGAACCGGGGTCCTCTGAGGTAGGAAGCCACATCCCGGGGCTCGGTGGTGGCTGAGGCTGGGGGACCGGCTTAGAGCAAGGGTGGGGGGTGGAGGTGGCACCCGGGACTCACCGAGCTCCAGGCTCAGGGCGGCAGCCAGCAGGAGCCCGAGGAGCAGCCGCATGGTGTCCCCGAGAGAGGCTGGTGCCCCGGGCAGCCAGGCTGGCATCTTATACCTGCCGCTCCCACCCTGCACCAGCCGGGCTCCGCCGTCTGACTCGCCTGCCAGCTGACTCAGCCACGGAGCCAGGCTGGGGCCCACGCGGCGCTGGGCCACCCGGCCCCCAGGCTGGAGGGCGAGCCCAGTTTACCGCATCAACCCTTCCCTGTCCAGCAGGTAGGATAATCCCGGTCGTAGGGCGGGGATCGCGCCAGCCCACCCGGCAAGGAGGCACAGGCAGCACGCGGCCTCTCGTGTCCCGCGGGAGGGTCACCCCTCCCCCTAGACACGCCGAGGAAGCCGAGGCCGGCCCGGCCAGAGCCCTGGCCAGCGCTGCCCCCGGGGTGTCAGGTGACCAGCTTCCCTCCGAAGGGCCGGAGCATGTGCCTCCTCAGCCGGCCGCCTGTCCGGTGGGCCTCTGCCCACGAGTGGCAGCTGGGAGCCGCCCGCCTGGCCAGAGTGCTGAGGGCTCGCGTTCGCTGCCGTGGTCACGCCGCAGGGCCCAAGACCTGCGGCTGTTTTCCCCCGCGGTGGGGGGAGAGCAGAAAGGTATTTGAAAGGGTCCCGTGACGGGTGACACCCGACAGCAGCCAGACATGCCAGGGTGACCCACGAGCCACACCGCTCTGCTAAGAGCTGTCGGGGCTGGGGCACCACGGGGGCAGTGCAGGTGGCTGTCCGTGGGGAGCCGGCCCCACCGTCCGGGGATCCCCGTGCGTCTGCTCTGGTTCCCGGGTGGCTTCTGTCCACCCCTCTAGCTGGTGGGCTCCTTAGGGCTGGGGGCTGGAGGGATGGAGAAGGAGCCAGGAGACTGGGGTGCTAGGTGGGTTCCTGGGGTCCCGCCTCCCCCCACCAGCGTTCTCTAGGGGCCCCTCTCAAAGGGTGGGCTGGGTGAGTTGCTGGGCCCGCCTCCTTCCCGTCCTGCGTGGTCCCCTCCCGCGGGTCGTCCCCTTGCCTGCGTCCGTCCGGGCTCCGACGTCGACTGGATGAGCCAAGGTGAACAGGAGTCTGGGACAGACAGAGCCGGCGTGACCAGCCATGCCAGACCCAAAAGGTGGACCTAGCTCAGACCAAGGTGGCTGGTGAGGACAGAGAGCAGGGCAGACACATTTATTCATCCATTTATTCACTCACTCCGTGAGATACGGAGCGGACCCCTCGGGTGCAGAGTGTAAGCAGAGGAGGGAGCTCTGGGGTGAAGGCGGATGCTTGTGTCGGTCAGGGTCAGGGTCAAGGTCAAGGTCAGGGCTAGGAGTTAGCATTAGCGTCTGACAGGGACACGGCCTGGGAAGTGTGACGAAGGGAAGGGACGCCACCCGTCAATCCATCCGTCTGTCCGTCTGAGGCCTCCTGTGTGCTGGTCACTTACACCCACAGCCTCGTTAACCCCCACGAGGCCTCAGCTCGGCGGGGACGGTCGTTCCCATTTTATCAGTGAGACAACGGAGGCTCAGAGATGTGAACGGGGAACTCCCGGCAAGTTCAGTGGTGGGAGCTAACAAAACGCACTGAGAGGGCACGCGGCAGAAAGAGGCCTCTCCCTTTCTTTGTACCCTTTCCAGAGGTTTAGAAGAACAACATACATGCTCACGGAACAAACCAGCCGCTGTAAAGGGGATGACGACGCGGTTGGTGCCGCCCCCTGCCCCCCGCCCAGCAGGGCACCTCAGCCCTGGACGCACACCTTCCTGACGCCTTCTCTCCGCGCAGGGCCGGTGTCTCTAGGTGAGCGCCCACAGCCCCAGCTTCTCAGCTGTGCCCCAGGACAAGGCACAAAACAGCCACAGGAGGGGGCACCGCACAGCCAGCACGAGGGACCCCCAGGCCGCTTTGAGACGCCACAAAGACCTCTGAGGAGCCCGAGCATCTATTCACACCCAGGGGGTGCTGGATTCTGTCGGAAGGATCCTGGAGTCACGTTGGCGCCCCTGCGCTCTCCCCCGTCGGCGACGCCAGCCCACGGCCCGGGACACAGATGGCGGGCCGGTCGCCCTGCCGCTGGTCCTCACGGCTTCTCAGATCTCTGGTTCCACTTTTCTCCTGCGAAGCTTTCCTGACCCTAAACTCTTGTAATGACTTCACAGGCTAAGACTGTTTTCCGTTTACAAACCCACCTCCTGGGCTTCGCCCTCTCAAGCTCCTAGCTGCTGGGAGAAGACAGTGCACAGTGGGGCGGGCCTGTGGGGGTCGGGCGAGGTGGCCAGCCAGCCTGCCGGGCGGGCCGCCACATCATTGCTCCGTGCCTCAGTTTCCTCACCTGCAAAGGGGGCACGATAATGGCTTCCACCTTGCAGGGTGGTCGTGGAGCGCTCAGAGCCACGACCACAGGGAAACCAGACAGATGTGGGTTACCATCCTCGTCGGCGACATCCCCACTGGCATTTCCCACTGGGGGCCTGGCCCAGTATTGGTTGAGGGCTTTCCGGGGGCTCTGTGCTGGGTTTCAGAGACATCCGGGCCAGGCAGAGCCCTGTCTGTGGCGGTGGAGGGGGTGGCATGGTCCTGGGGGACCTGGTGCGATGTTGTGGGTGTTGGCCTTGGACCAGGTCGCGGCGGAGCATGGGCAGAGGGGTGCAGAGGGCAGGTGTGGGCACCCCCATACCATGGCAAGCCCAGCTCGCTGGATCCCTGCTCTCAGTGACCCCGGAGCCCACAGGGGGACACGCGAGGCTCTAACTTCATCCCCCTTGTGATGGAGGAGGGAGGACTGATCCCGTGCCCCTCCCAGCTCTGGCCTACGATGCCAGCTGGCCCAGGACGAAGGTCTTACACAAGCGATTTAACGACGGCTCCCAAGCCTCTCCCACTGAGTGAGGAGGTCAAGGCTGGCTAGGGCTGGAGGCCCATGTCCACCCCTTCCACATCCAGAGGCCTGTGCTGGCCCTCCAGCCAGCTCTGTGGGGGCAGTGCTGTCACTTCCAGGAGGCTGACCACTCCCGGGGGTTCGTTGGATCTGTGGGAGCTCAGGGCGGCGGTCTGGCTTGCTCCCAGCCTCCCCAGGGAAGGGCTCACACAGGATCGGTCCTCGGGGGGAGGAGACACCCAAGTCTCCTGTGGGGGCTGAGCTCTTGACCTCACACTCCTTGGGGTACAGCCCCTTCCTGCCTCTTGGCCCAGGATGAGACCCATCTTCCCAGACCTTCTGGGAGGTCCAACCAGGTCGGCCTGAGGACCCCTACCCAGGCTGGCCCAGGCTCTCCTAAGGTATCCTGATCCCTTGAGATCTGGAATCACAGCTTGGAGCTCTCCAGGTTGAATCTCTAGCACAGGCTCCCCCATCAGGGCCATGCTTCGGGGCAAGGGCTTCTGAGTCCCGGGGACTGTCCCACCACACAGGCATTTGTTGTAATGCTGCCAACTTGGGCCCAGCCAGCTTTGAAGGGACTCCTGGGCCCCTCCAGAGATGCTGAGCTGGGGACACTCGTTAGGTAAGGACGCTCAGGCCCCGTGTGACCTGGGCCACAATGTCGCATGTCCAGTCTGACTTCACTGGAAGGAGGGCCAGTGTTTCCTGGGCCACCCTTTCCAGGATTGTTGTTGCTGGGTGACTCTTGTTTCCTAAACCAGGCCAGAGATGGGGTTCACCTAGGCTGGGTACCCTTTAATAATGCCAATTCTTGGGCCCCCGAGAGTCCCCAATACCCCACTGGGTTGGGGGCACCTGGAGACCATTCCCCAAATCAAGGAGGGAGCTCTTTAGCCCGGGGAGGACTTCTCTTTCTCCCCTTGGGTAGTCAGAGGGTGAAGGGTCCCATGGAGACCCTCAGGCTGGTGGGCTCAGCCTCTGGGCCGGGGCCGGCTCACCGGCTCTCATTCAGCCAGGCCCGCAGGCCAGAGCAGGTGGGGACCAGCCACGAGTGGGTGTGGACAGTGGTGCTTTGGATTGGAAGGTGCAGAGGGACTTCCGGGATTCTGGAGGGAGCCTGGTCGTCTGAATCTCAGACCCTGCCTCCTCCAGCCTCTGTCCCCGACCTCCTCTTTCTCTTCTTAGGAACACGCCCCGCCCCCCCCCCCCGCCCCGCCCCACTCACCCCTCCACCCCAGGCCAACCGGGATGCGTGCTGCTGCTCAACCCACTCCCTGAAGGGGCAGGCGAGGGCTGAAAGGCCAAGCTGTTTGGCCCCACCTTCTCCTTGCCAAATATAGCCCCCGGTCAGCTCTCAGGCTCCACCAAATATAGCCTGCCTGCCCTGCCAAGTGCCTGCAGTGTCAGGCCAGGGTGGGGCATGCGGCAGGTCAAGGGTTTGGCCTGGCAAGAACGGGAAGAACCTCTCACCAGGCTTCCGGGGCTGGGGGCCTCAGGGCTCTCTTCAGGACGGCCCGCCCCCTCCCCTGCCCAGGGCCGCCTGGAGACACAGGACTTCCCTGCACTACTCCCTGGGGCGGCTGACAGGGACAAAGGCCTTCCTCACATGCCCACAGAGACAGCCCTCGTGCGCCTCCAGAAAGCCCTTCTTCCTAGGGTGCCCCCACCCATCCTGGGTCCCTACTGTCCCCCACCCCTCCGCACCCTTACTGAGCAGACTGCGGCAGCTGCCAGGAAGGTGGGCCAAGTCTCCCCTCAAATCAGTGTTCCTCAGCCAACTGAGAACCCCAACTGAGCAGCACATTTTGCCAGACACCCCCCCTCCTTGGGCAGAGGAGGGGCGAGCTCTCCCACCAAGGCCAGACAACTTTGGGAGAGCTGGTCCCACATCAACCTTTTGAGAATGAAAGTCCTGGTCTGGGAGGAGGCCCCAGGCCGCGAGCCCCCGAGTCCTGAAGCTGACGGTCCCGGGTGTGGCTGGGGGGAGGGCACCAGGTGGGTGGGGGACGCAGGGTGAAAAGGTAGGGCTGTGCCTCTCAGAACTCCGTCCTTGAGTGGGTCTTGGTGGGGGGCAGGGATTTAGAGCAGACCCCAGACAGTAGCCAGGAGGATGGGGGCCAGGGCCAGGGCCCCCGGCACGGCGAGGCCAGCGCTGTTGCAGAGGTCATACTGGCAGCAAGATGTGGTGGAGGCATGTTTGGAGTAACCGTCGTACACCGTCTCGAAGCAGCTGGGCACACACGACTTGCTCACCTTCATCCTGGTCGGCGTGTAGTCTGCACGGGGGAGCTGGGCTAGGACCCCACGTTGGCCCGACTCTGACATGCAGGGCCTTTAGGGCAGGCTCTCCCTCAGCCAGGTGCTCCCAGAAAGAACCCCAGGGCAGGTGGGGCCTCCCTCCTCAGTCCCCCCCCCCGGCCCCGCCGCTCCTAGGGGCAGGCAGAACACCCCCTCCTGCTCCCCGGGGGCACCCCAGTGACTCACAAGTGCGTGTGGTCATGCAGTAGGTGACCATGGCCGGGCATCGCATGGGATTGAAGCAGTTCTCGCCGTTGTAGGCACACACGTGGCAGTCCAGAGCCTGGGCTGGGGGCCGGGGGATGGGGTGGGAGCTGGATGGGGGTCGCACAATGGGGGGAGGCCCCTCCTCCAGCCCGGCAGGCCCCAGGTCCCATCCCCTCCCCCCCGCACAGCTGGAGGCAGAGGTGGTTTTTAGGAAGCCTGGCCTCCCTCCCCACTCCCAGCCGGCCTGCCCCCAACAAGGGTCTGTCCATCTGTCTCTTCTCCATCTTACCCAGAGGGAGGCCCACCAGGGCCACGAGGAACAGGGTGAGCAGGGGCGCCATGGATGGAGGCGAGAGGACAGAGTGGCAGTGGGGAGTTGAATGGAAGCTGGTCCTTGATTTCAACTCAGGCTGGGTCAGGGGCGGGGCACAGAGCGGGTCAGACAGCCCCCTGCCCTCCCCGGCTCCTGGTTTACTGGAGGCACCGCGGCCCTGCACAGAGGAGGACAAAAGAGGGTGGTCACCCAAGGGGACCCGGGCAGGGGTGCTGGTGGGAAGGTTTCCTGAAGAAGGGGACACAAAAAGAGAAGGAGGCGGGGGGCGGGGGGGGGGGACAATCCAAGTGGAGAGACTGGTGTCTACAAACAGATCTGTCGTGCAGGCTGAAGGGGTGGTGTGGGGAGGAGGGTTCATGCGGGGGCCCCACGGAGCCTGCCACACAGTTCCTCCTCACCGAGGGCCCTGAGTACAGGTGAGCGGCCAGGGCACCACTAGGCCCCAGGGTGGGCCTCTCCTCACTGCTTCCCCTCTGCTTTGCCCCTGGGGTGTCCTTGCGTGGGTCCCCCACTTCCGCTACTTTCAGGGCCGAGGCGGGGGCCGCTCTCCCGGGAAGACCTCCGGAGCCCAGTCTTACTTGGGCTTCAGGTCTGAGTCCTGGCCCGGCGGGAGCTCCTGGCAGGAACAGGCTCTGATCAGTCTGTGGGGAAATGCGCTTGGGGCGTCCACGCGGGCAGGAGAGCAGGAGGAACTTCCGGGTCCCTACATGGTGCTCGGGATGGACACGTCCAACCTCTGGCTGGGGGGGTCGGGGGAGTCTGGACTACGACTTCCCTCCCCTCCCCCTGCGGGGATTCTCGGGGCCCAGCGTCCCGTCCCAGGGGGCCAAGCCTCCGCCCCTCCGGAGAACAGCAAACCAACCCGTCAACCCAGTTCCCAAGAGTCACCCTCAGGGTGCGGCGGTGGGAGGACTGGCCTGGCTGCTCCGCTTCCCGCCCCTTGCCCGCGAGCCCCGCCCCGAAGACTGCGGTCCCAAGCAGAGTGGGGGAGGTTTCGGGATAACCTAAACCGTGACCTTCAGCACGCTGAGCCTCCGCTGCGCCCAGGACTCACCCGCGGCCGCTCGCCAGCTCTTCCCTGGGTCTGAAGGCGCGACCGGACGGGCGCCCCGCAGTGACCACGCCGGAATGCCCCTCTGCGGCCTCCAGAAACTGCCAGCCAGGCCTGACATCCCCGCAGGAGGCGCCGCCCCAGCCCGCCCCCGGCCTGCTTTGGACCGGCCCCAGCCCCGCCCCGGTCCGCCCCCGGCCGGCTTTGGACCCGCCCCGACCCTGGGCCCCGCCCCGGTCCGCCCCCGGCCGGCTTCGGACAGGCCCCAGCCCCGCCCCGGTCCGCTCCCGGCCGGCTTTGGAACCTCCCGACTCCGCCCCCAACTCTATTTCATCTAGGCCCCGCCCAGGCTCCGCCCATCTCCCCTCCCCCGCGCCCTAGGTCCGCCCAGGCTCCGCCTATCCCCTTTCCTGCCCCCGCCTTAGCCCCGCCTCGCTCCCGCCCTCAGCCCCGCCCAGTCCCGACTCCGCCCCAGGCCCGCCGCCTCTCGGCTCAGGCTCCGTCCAAGGTCCTGTCCAGCTTCGTCCCTCCCGCCGCCTCCGGGTTCCTCTTTCCCCGTGGACTCGAACCCCACCCAGCCCTGGCATCGCGGAGAGCCAGCCACGCCCAGATATGTATGCTGCCCCCCAGTGACATCCACGCGATCCCCTCAGATGCACGCGCACCGCTCAGGGACTACCTCCATGGGATCTGGCCGCTGTCACCCACCCAAATCTTGGGTTTCTCCCTGCTTCTGGCAGCTTGTCTTCGCCTGCTCACCCCCGCCATCACCGGGCCCCTCATTCCTTGAGCCCAGTTCAACCGAGCTGCTGCGTGGAACAACCGCCCCCCACCCCCAGGAGCGCAGTGACCCCTGGACCCGGCTCCCTATTCAGTCTGCCTGCGTCCCCACCTGGCCCTGCCTTCCCTGTTGAGTGACTTCTGCGTTTTACCTAGCATTTCTGGGCTTCCGTCCCCACACCTGGTCCCATCTCGAAAAGTGAAAAATCAAGCCTTGAAAGGATCCCATTATTTCACGGACCCCTCCCACCATAATAATATCAGTATTAAATAATTGTGGTTTTTTTTTTTTTTTAAATATACAACTTCTCAACATTTAGTTTTCTTCTGTTTGGGGCAAAATTTAGGATTTTCATGGGCCCTAAACTTTTCATTTTTTTCTTTAATTTTTGTTTTGTTTTGTTTTCGTGTTTATTTATTTTGAGATAGAGAGAGACAGAGCACGAGCAGGGGAGGTGCAGAGAGAGAAGGAGACAGAGAATCCCAAGTAGACTCCACGGTGTCAGTGCAGAGCCCAACACGGGGCTCAACCTCATGAAACTGAGCCGAAATCAAGAGGCACAGGCATAACCGACTGAGCCACCCAGGCGCCCTTTTCCATTTTTTTCTAATGTGAAACACACACACACACACACACACACACACGGTTTTTTTGACCATAAAAGTTTTTTTTTTTTTCTTTCTTCATTTGAAGGAGATGGAGTACCTCTGGATCCAAGCAGGCCACCTCTCTGGGCAGATTGGGTGTTTGGTCCCCCTATTTGCCAATAGTCTCCGAGAGGCCCCATGTCCCATAAATATTCTCATCCTCACGAGGCTCACACTCTAACGGAGTAGAGAATAAACACATGGGTCAAAACCAGAGCATGTCACTGGCTTCAGCACGAGGCCGTGATGAATTGATAAGAACGGGTTTATGGCCCCGCCTTAAACGACTGAAACACGGAGTGTAAACAAAGCACTGCTTTTCGGACATGGTGTGACAGGCAGACAGACACGGTGATTCTGGAGGAAAGGGACTCCGGTGAAGGGAGGGGCTGCAGGCCGCAGCACTAGAACCAAAGAGAGCCCCCCGGTCTCCCTGATGGAGGAAACAAGTGGAGAGGCGGGGAAGCCGAGGCAGCTGGAATTTCCAGGGCAGAGCCCGGATGAAGAACTGCCCAGGAGAGAGCTAGGAGGTGGGCAGAGGGTTCCATGCACACATTTGAGGAACTTAAGAAGAGGCAGAAGAAGTCACTGAGAGGGGGCAGGCAAACCAGTCCCCAGAGTCACACAGGCCCTGGGGGTCACCTGCGTGAGTGGGGAGCAGAGACCTTGGAAGTTGGGGCCACCGGACAGAGTGCTCAGAAGGAAACTGCCCTAATTGTGGGGCCTGCTTGAGCCTAGATCACACTGAGTGATCACAGATCACACTGAGTTCCACCTGACCGAGCATAAGAGCAAGTTTTGAAAGGGTCCAATCGTCTCCACTAACTAGATTGCATCCTGAGACAGAACCCAACATTATTTAAAAGAGAAAATAAGCCAGCATCTTACAATGTAAATTTCATCTAATTAAGTACCTGACACTCAATTGAAAACCCCAGCAGGCATGCCAGAAAGGAGGGATAGGTGACCCGTGGTGGGGAGAAGACAGTCCTTAGAGCCACGAGCGCCACCGCTGGTCATGTCCATGGGCAAGCACATGAAAAGAGACACTGTATTTCCCATATTCAAGCAGACAGAGGAGGGCACGGCTGTGTCGGGGAGCCTCGGGAAACAGAGAAAACACAAACGGAGCTCCTAAAGACGGAAAAATAGCCGGGTGGGGTTAACAGCCCACTTGGGTCTGCGGGGCAAAGATCAGCGGACTTGAAGACTAAGCATGAGGAAGAGGGTCCCAGGACACAAAGAATGAAAAGGGACAGCACAGTGGGGGCCTGTGTGTCGCTGGAGTCCCAGGAGAGGCAAGGAAGAGAAAAAGGTTTTCAAAGAAACAATGGCCAAATTTTTCCGAATTCGTTAAAAACTGTACACCCGTGGAACCCAGAAACTCAATGAACCCCAAGCACAAGAAATATGAAGAAAACTAGGCCAAAGCATCCCCTGTGCAGGTGCCGTGGCAGCGACAAAGAGGAAACGCCGAGGGCCCGGCAGACTGCACGCAACGGCCAGGGTGACCAGCCCTCAAGCGAAGAAGACAGAAAACCCAAAGCAGACAGGGCAGCATCGCCCACCTGGAAATGCCAGAGGGGCGGCTGCAGAGCCCTCCTGCAGGGCAGTGGAGGGGGGGGTCCCGCAGGCAGAGGGAAATTATGCGGCGCCCACACACATCCACACGGAGGAATGGAGAACACCAGAAATGGGAAAAAGAAGGTACTCGTCTTATTTTTAAATGACTTTATCATTATTATTATTACTATTATTAATGTTTATTATTTTTGAGAAAGACACAGAGCATGAGTGGCGGAGGCGCAGAGATCGAGGAAGACACAGAATCCGCAGCAGGTTCCAGGCTCTGAGCTGTCAGCACAGAGCCTGATGTGGGGCTCGAACCCATGAATGGTGAGATCATGGCCTCAGCTGAAATTGGACACTCAACCGACTGAGCCACCCAGGTGCCCCTGTCTTATTTTTAAATGACTTTAGAAGATAATTGGCTGCTTAGAGCACGAGTAGTAACAATATATTAAGAGATCTTTAGCAAATGTTGAAGTAAATTGCGTGACAGTGGTAGCACTCACAGCCCCAGACGGGAGAAGGAAGTGCACCGTTGTGAGTTTATTGCCTGCATGTGAAACGGCACAGTTCTTGAACACAGACTGTAATAAATTAAAGATGTGCACTATGAACACTAAAGCAACTGCAGAGAGAGAGAGAGAGAGAGAACAAGGAGATAAAATGGAATCAGAAAAAAGTAATCTGTTCGTCAAAGAGAAGGCAGAGGAAGGGGGAGAGGGAAAAAGCATGGGGTCAAGGAGAGACAATGGGAGAAGAGACTCAAAGCCACCTGCACCTGAACCCCACTCTGTGGTCAAAACTCTCAGTGAGGAACAGAGACAGAGCCACGTATGTGCTGTCCTCAAGGAGCCCACTATACGTATATAGACACGAACAGGCTGAAGTCAAAGAGAAAGGCACCAATGTTAACGCTGATTAAAAGAAAGCAAGAGTGGCCATATTGATATCAAAGTGGGTTTTGGAGTGGAGAATATAACCAGCAAGGAATGGGGACACTACATAACCTTGATGGGTTATGTAGGGGACAGAGCAACCCTAAGTGTTTATGCCCCTAACAATTGAACTTCAAACACAGGAAGTACAGTAGCCTGGCAGAAAACTGAAGAGAGCAGACGAAGATTGGGATTACAGAGGTTTCAACACTCCTTTCTCAACGTCCCAGGGCAGAAGTGGACACAATCCTAAGGACAGAGGGGAAGTGAGAAGCACGACCACCCAGCATGGCCTGGTTGATGTCCTGCTGGGGGTACACACCTTTCGGAGTATGCACAGAGCATTTGCCAAAATGACCTGTGCTGTGGGCCGTGAGACACAGCTCAATGCATTTACAAGGATTGAAACCATACGAATGGTTTCTTTACACAACAGTGGGATTCAATTAGATCCTGAGAACAGAAAAATATTTGTAAGCTCCCTCAAATATTTAGAAACTGGGCAACACATTTCTAACTAATCTATGGGGTTGCTGG